TGGGCTCCTTTACTTGTGCAGAATGTTGCTCACTCAACAGTTTCTAGTTATATTAGTAGTAAAACCAAAAATTCTTCATACTAAATATTCGTTGGCATCACTTTCGTTTGCGTATTTTTCTGGAACAAGTCTAGAATAGCGACCGTTTGGATATAAAATAACCAAAAGTGCCGATTGATAGAACTTTTTACGCTGATTTCAACGATACCAAATTTATTTGGCGCAGGTAAAAAACAAAGAAGATATAAGAAATTTATTTGCTTTGTTTATTAATATTATTAATATTATACCTTTCATGAGCATGAAATGGTATTATAACTTTGGTCCGATGTTTGCAAGTACCAGAATAAAAAGAGATAGACCCATTAAAATGTACACTTATATGATCAGAACGTCGAGCTGAGTCGATATAGCCATGTCCGTCTGTCCGTCTGTCTGTTTGTATGCAATCTAGTCTCTGAGTTTTCGAGATATCCGGATAAAATTTGGTAGGTGGGTGTATTTTTATAATGTATTAATCATTTGTCGGAACCGGAAGAATCGGACCACTATAACATATAGCTCCCATACAACTGATTGTTCAGATATGAGATTTTTCGTTATAACTTCTCCATTTATGCAGCTAGGAACTCGAAATTTTGCAGTACTTGCACCCATTATCAACAGAATACAGTGAAAATTACAAAGATCGGGTCACTATAACCTATAGCTCCCATTCAACTGATTGTTCAGATATAAAATTTTTCGTTATAACTCCTCCATTTATATAGCTAGGAACATGAAATTCCGCACTGTTTTCAAAAATTACCAACACAAAAAATACAGCGAAAATTAAAAGGATGGGGCAACTATAACCTATAGCTCCCATACAACTGATTGTTCAGATATGAGATTTTTCGTTATAACTCCTCCATTTATGTAGCTAGGACCATGAAATTTCGCGCTGTTTTCACTCATTATCAACAGAAGACTTATAGTGAAAATAACAAAGATCGGGTCACTATAACCTGCAGCCCCCATACAACTGATTGTTCAGATATGAGGTCTTTTATCATAACTCCTCCATTTATGCAGGTAGGAACATGAAATTTCGCACCATTTTCACTCATTACTAACAGAATACTTACAGTGAAAATAACAAGGATCGGGTGACTATAACATATATGTATCTTCCATACATCTGATTGTTCAGATATGGGATTTTACTGTAAAACTTCTTTATTTGAACAGCTTAAACCGATAAATTTCGTAAGATATTTTATAAATAATAATACAAAGTCTACTGAGAAAATCGTTAAAATCTATGCTGTATAAGCTTTATCTCCTATACCACTAATTGTGTTGTAAAACTCCTTTATTTGAACAGCTAAAACCGATATATTTCGTAAGATATTTTATGAATAATAATACAAAGTCTACTGAGAAAATCGTCAAAATCTATGCTGTATAAGCTTTATCTCCTATAAATGTCACTAATGAGCAAACCTTTAATTATTGAATCATGAGTAAGCACAGTTTAACAGTGAAACTACCTTCTTTTTTTGTATCATGAACAAATACAACAATTACCTGTATTTTGTTTTTGCTTTAGCGGGCTTGTCGAATTTCAGCCATTCTTACACGAATGAAAAAGGGGGACAGAAAATACAAACACTCTCATGCGATGAAACAACGCCACCATATATAAATCGCCTTAGTTCCGTGAAAACTTTTTCGAGGAGTGTCTTACACAAATTGCCTACTTCGATTCTACATATAGATGATTGCTTAGAAGTAAAGTAAAACTGTTAGAGATTGTGTTCGAATCACTTGATGTCACACACTTTTTATATCATTTTATTTATGACAGTAAATACTAAAATTTTAAGTCCATTTACTTGAAAAGTGTTTAAAATGCAATTAGATACTTGGTTTTGAAAGCATTACAACTTGATTAAAGAACTGTGTTCGCTACATGACGGCTGATACCTTTAGATATAATTCAATTGATTCAAAGAGAAGCAAAGCTCAAATAGGAGTGCTGTTGCTGCTATGCTACAGCTTTTCCAACCCTGGTAAATTGTAAATATTTATTTACAAGGCCATCAAATTTCATACTGCTATCTGTTGTAGTTTAGAAGAAATAAATTTTTCAATTTTGTAATGCTTTAAAATACAAGTATTCATAACTTAATCAACTACATGGTGAAATTATCCCAGGTGAAGTAATAAGAGGGGGAGGAAGATTTGGCGATATCTTATTTGAAAATTTGTCTTTAAAAATTTCTATATAATGTCTAGAAAATAAAGCGAGAAAGTTGTTTTGTTACTTTACCTGTTTATAATATCACTATGGGAGAAATATAAGAATTTTTCCAAAATATTTGTATCCAAATATATGGATTTATAAGTACATACTTTAATCACTTTACGTGGCCGCAGTCAATAAAGGGAATGGTTGTCATACCTTATGTCTAGTCCGGTCGTTCGACCCAACACGCCGTAGAATCTGCGGTTAAAACTCTTCACCACGCTGGTCACAATGTCGGTGGCGACGTTCAGCCATAAATCGCGGCACAACTAATCGTCGAACGTCCATGGAGCTATTGTGCTGCAGGCGGACACATATCCGTAAATGTCTTCTTATTTTTTGGATTCAAGTTCTGAAAACGTTTAAGTGGTAAAAGTGCTCCAATGCATATAAATGCAGCACATGGGATAGTCGTTGCAAGTGCGCATGCGCTCAGAAACACCAGCACTTGGCGGGTAATTCGTTCCGCTCCCTAGTTCCATGCTTCAAGCATTCCAACGGCGTTGAGGGGTAGCGGAGCGCTTGTATGCACCAAAGAAGCACGTTGGAAGCTCTTGCATATTTTTATTGTTGCGATTGTAGCCCATGCTGTTATTTTTGATGTTTTGCTATTCCATTCTTACTGCGCACGCTGTTGGGTGGGCAATACGATCAATGCACTTTGAGTCATGTACGTGTGTGCGTATATGACAAACAATTTTTCTTGGTTCTCACTCTCCTCACTGTTCCGGTCATTTCCCAGTAATTCTACTTCTTCCAACATTACTTATTACTTATTTTTATTTAGCTAAGGCGAGGCTCTTGGAAATACATACTAATTTATTATCTTTATTTATGCATAGAACTTAACATAATATATGTACAGTACATACCCTGCAGCGGAAAGTACTAGTACAGAACTAGTGATTTCACCAGTTTTCGGGAGTCGAATACCGGTACCTCGCAAATCTACCACCCATGCTTTCTAGTGTCGCATTGAACTTGGAGTTGTCCTAGGAGGTGACAATTTACTCCTGCTGCGTAGCTCTTCACTAGTACTTGTAGTAGTAACATGTAACCTGTAACAGAACCACTTTTTTTTTGTTGTGCACTTCACAGATACTTTTTCATAATTAAAAAAAAAAACGAAAATAGAAATTTTAAATTTTAAATTATATGTATGTTCTGCATTGTGAGATTCGAACTTGGATACTTTCGGCCACAACTAATTGTAGTCAGCATCTTTGCGCACTCGGCTACAGGCACAACATGTAAGTATGCTTTCCTACGTTCGCTTTGAATCAAGCCAAGCGACGATTCGTTCAAATTTAAATTTGTCTTTGCTATTGTCTTTGTCATGATACAAATATTTAAAGGTAAAATCGCTCGCTCAATTCGTCCGCCATTGGGTTTTTTGACGTTTTCTAGCATTTTGAGTTTTCTCCCTCGAAATACTTCTAATGTCAAAGAAATTCCAAATAAACAAATGTAAATTTATGATTTGAAATATTTAATTATTCAGAAGTTGGAAAAACTAAAAAATTTCGAAACGAAAATAAGTTGCTGCTTTAACGGCTGCGCAAATACCGTTGTTCACTGCAAGCAGAGCAATATAAATTTTTTTTAGTTCCCGCAATTATCGTATATACGGCAAAAATGGATCTAGGTTTGTGGTGTTATAGAAGCGGATTTGCCAAAGAGCCCGTATGTGTGCTCGGCTCATTTTTTGCCACACCACTTGACCCAATGTAAGCACAAGGTATTGTGTTGTATTGTATTGTATTTACATACATATGTTTCGTCAAAATATATTTATTTGGTTTGAGTGAAAATAAAAACAAACAAATGAAATGACTGGTTGTGCATACGAATACACCAATTTTTTTCTGGACTTTTGGCCAGGGTTTTCCAAAAATTGGCTACTGTGCGCTGGGGCATTTGACGTGAATTGCCCCATTTATATAAACATATTTGAAAAGAAACCAAAATAATTTAAAAAGTAGCAGTTGTGTAAAAAGGGGTATCTACATATGTATTGCTTTATTTTGGTACTTTTCAGTCCGATATTTGCGTGGTGGTTACACGAGTGAAACAGAACATGGATAGGTATTCAAAATTTATTATTTGTATTTAAATGATAAATAACAAATTTCTTTATGTAATAAGGGAGCACTATTATATTAAAACGGCTAAACACCTTTAGAAGGAGCAATATGTAACCAATAGTTTGATTTGGAGCATATTATGCTATTGGAACAAGTAATGTAACTAGTACGAAAGCGACAATTGTAACCGACACCGCTCCAGGGTGCTTACTTAAATGTATACATACATATGTATGCATATGCATAGGTAAATATGTACTTTAAGGCTGTCCTAGTTTGTATGAGAAAATTTAAAAATTCGTTTTTGTTGAGTGCCGACTTATTTTTTCCTTTTTTGTTTAAAAGACTTATAGTAAAAATTTTAAGTCAATCGGTTAGCGTTTGATAGAAGCGAAAAATGTTTAAAGTCGTTAAAACCCATGTCTCTTTTTAACTTTATTAAAGCACACAGCAGTTTTTTTTTAAATTTCGAATTTTATTGTATGTAAATACTGCAGCAGCCAGCAGAAGCCAGAGTTGAAGACACTTCGCTTTAATACTTTTTTGCGAACCGACTCTTCGGGCCTACGAAGCGGCAATCGTACGCAGGAACAAACTCGAATAATTGGTCAGTTAAAAGTACTTACATAAGCGCGGCGATTTTTCAGGTCAAGAAGAACTGAAAATGATTAAAGTCAAATAATTAATGTGAATAAAATGTGAAATAAATAGAAAAAAATATTATTGATTAATAAGTTTAATAAGTCAGTGTTACAAGAGATCAAAAATTTCAATCAAACAAATGACTTATTAATACTTATACATAGGTATGCTTAAAGCAAGTTATTTAAAATAAAAAGCAATACTAATATTCTAGAGAGATTATTTTCCTCACTACGTACTTGTTCAAGTTCAAGTACAAAAGCACGTAAATCTGCCGAAATCTTACATATTATCGACTTTATTGGCCGGACTTTTCACCAAATTACTGGTGCAAAACTCCCTTCAAATAGGCAGTTGTTGCAAGTTAGGTCTTACAATACATATACGTTGATCGTGCAAAAAAAGAGATTCCAGGAAGAGCGCAAAACTAGCAATAGATGCATCAAAAATATTTTGGCAACAAGCACGAAACAAGCGAAATACCAATTCGCAAGGATCACAAATGTGTAGACAAATTAATGAAATTGTACGGCGTCCGGAAAAATATTCGAAAACTGTCTCAGGTAAAATGTCGAAAGCTAAAAAACGATTTTTCTAAAACTTTGTTGAAAGTCTTGATGATTTATTAGACATTGCTGCTCAAAATGCATTATAGGAAAGTCAAAATAGCGGAAGATAAATTATTTTTCGAAAAGCAGAGATAAAAAGGACGTCCAGGTTGCATGGCAGGTGTTGATATGGTTTATACGGACAGGAAAAAAGCCAAAGGGAAGAATTCACCGACAAAAATGTAAGGGCCCATAGTGTAATGAGAAATTCATTATTAAATTGTTTTTGTAACAGATTACAGCTTTCAATCAAATCATGGAGTGGGAGAATGATGTGAGCGACGACGAGACTCCATTTCAAGACGGCAACAATAATCCAAGAGCCATACGCAGATGTACCATGTTTTGAGCAAGCCGAAAGCCCAGATTTTTCAAAACCACCCACAAAACGGGTTCGAAGAAATGTTATGACGACACGGTTAGCTGCAGAGCTTGACAATGGCAAATAAGGTGATGGAATGACCGTGTATATTCTTATCTGGTTATCAGTAGATAGAGTATTCAATGCGCACAACGAAGAATCGTGTGAAAGAAGCAAAGTGAATTTCAAATACATTTTCTGATAATGTAATTTAATTTCAGATTTATTTAGATTTTTATCATCCGGAATTTACTTTATTTACAGTTAAACACACTTGGATCGTTTATAATTCATTGGGATAGGAAGACTTTGCCAGATCTTGGCACAACCAAATTCCTCGGCGCACCAAAAATAGCCCGCTGAACTTGTGAAAATTTGGTAATATTGTTTATGAATAAATTCGTGGAATGAATCTTGTGAACCAAGTTCAAGTTATGTCCTTTGATACAACTGTGAAAACAATTTATCTAAAATTAATGAGGCTGCCCTGTCGTCACCACATACAGAATCACGTCAACTACCCTAGCGCGACGCGCAAGCGCTAAATTCCAGAGACTCGTGGTAGAGTTTTAAAAAAGTCATCCAAATTTTCGTAAGAATTATAAAAGTCTTTTGATAATAATTATATGAGAAAATTTTTTTAATTCATCGGTAACTACTATTTTAAGACTTAAATAATAATAGTCTTTTCATAATAACTATCAGCGAGATAAATATTTTTAAGTCTTCAAAGACTTTTATTTTGAGACTTATATCATTTTGGCGAATACTGCGGTCACGCGAAGCGAACAACTAAAAAATGACAGAATGTTCGAGGAATAATGTAGAATATTCGACAGCGAGAAACGCAACTGGGTGAATACCACGAACAGCGAGAGAATGAGAGACAGATACATAAGATATACAAATTTACTGTTTTATTTAAGGATACATTTCTTGTTAAATTGTGGAAGCTTGCGCCATGAATTCAGTGCGTAAACAATCAACAAAACTAAAATCTAATGGGAACAATAAATAAAAAGATGTAAAGTAGTATGCAATCCGTTATACACCCCATGTCAAAAAAATTAGCGCACCACAAGATTTTTTTGTTTTTAATTTATTTAAACACAGCTTATTCTTTAGCAAAAACCGTATAAATATAAATATATCAAACTTTGTGCAATAAAAAAATTAAATTCAGCAAAAAGTTCGAGCTTTTTAACTAGATTTCTGAGAAAGATTTTCAGTATGCAGTTTTGTAGCCCATTAAATTTTTGTATAACAAATTGTAAGATTGAAGTATCACTTACCGTTGATTTTCGGCAATTTTTTTTTAACGGTGATGCTTATTTTCTTCCATATAAAAAAGTGTATGGAAGAAAATGTGCAACACCGTATTTGGAAAATAAAATAAAAATATGTGGATACCTGGGTTGTGATTTTTTAGTTGTTACTTAGGTTAAACTTGTGTTGCGGTTTTTTGCAAAAATATTATTTAAAAATTTGCAGACTACGAGAATGTAAAAAATTTCTAGTAGAGTGGACCCTTTTATTGTTGCTTATATTATTGAGTGGAAAGAATGCCAATTTTGTTACGGAATTTTGATTCATACATTATTGTGTGAGTAGTAAATTTTTGATGATATATTTTCGATTATTTTCAAAATTAATCGGTTAATCGCTCGATTAATCTAAAGGAAATTTTCCATACAATTAAATCGTTAATCGAATGAAAATAACCGATTATAATCGGTTATTCGATTAATCGTGTTATCACTAGGGATTACTAGTCGAGGCCTAGTTTGGGGCCAGTTCGGGTCTAGTTGGAGCCCAGTTTCGAACTTGTTGGGGAGCAGTTTGGGCTCCGTTGGGGACTAGTTTTGGTTTATATCATATATATAGTCCAGAACTAGTCCCAAACTAAGCCCCAACTATTCCCAAAATACTACCCAACCAGTCCCGAACTCGGCCAAAACTAATCCCGAAATGGTCCTGAATAAGCCCCGTCTTTTAAGACTTAAAAATTTTTTTCGCTCTCATAATTATTACGAAAAGACTTTAATAATATAAGTCTCAAAATAAAATACTTTGAAGATTTAAAAATATTTATCTCTCTGATAATTATTATGAAGGACTTTTATATAATTCCTTGAATAATAATTATAGGTGACTCGAAAAATTTGTATCATAATATAATAATTGTTGATTGACTTTTATTCTATTCTCTTATAACACTATGCAACAGTCAAAATCGGGATGGGATGAAACCAACGGGAAATGTTATATCGGTCAAAAACAAGTTATACGTGTCCCGGCGTTTCGCTGGGTCACGTCTAGGAATCGAGATATATATATAAATATCATATAGGGGAAATTGTCACCTTTGGTGGTTCTTTTTTGACATAACTCGAGAACCACTAGTCCGATTTTGCTCAAACAAATTTAAAAAAATTAAAAATTACAATTCCTTTAATCTGTTCATATAACGTTTTTCTATATAATCAACAGAAACTCCGGGACACGTATAACTTCTTTTTTACCGATATAACTTTCCCCGGTAGTTTGAACCCTTCCCGACCACTGACCCCTACCATTTGTCTCACAGTGTAATAGTTGTCTCTGCTAAATTCTGTTGTTTTCAACTCGTGCTAATGGTATGAAAAGGTACGTAAAAGAAAATCCAAACACACCATTTCGAATTAGTTTTTCGTCAGCTTTCCAATGGCGTTGTCAGATTTTCCGCAGAATGTGAGGATATAAAAAATGTTTGCTATGATCAGCTGCCGAAATTTCAATTCAGGGATGATTATAAAGAATTTGTTCAAATGACTTGGACTTTTCTGGGCGTAGAACCATTCCGCTTTCGCACACTTGGTGCAACCAGTAATGCCCGATAGATGTCAAAGGTGATTTAGTTTTTGAAAATATTTATTGTTCTCAAGCAATTCGTGCTTTCGAAAAGAAGAAGTGAACGGCCTACGTGAGAAGCAGTGGCTATGGCCTCATTTGATTCTGAAGTTTCCGTCGGGGAAAACGCAAAATGGTTGAGGGGCTGAAATCCCACGAACCAGTTGCGAAATTGATTGACAACCGAAATACTTTAGTGGCCTTTCAACATTATAATTTACGCGATTTTGTATGAGAAAAACAAAGCAATTTTTCACGAGGTTTGTTTTCTCGCCGACGTTTTGCTGCCTAACTCATCGACTTGAGAAATGACTTTCGAATATGAATAAGGTTGGACCCACTGCCACTGCCGGAATTTATTTGTAATATGTAAATGACACTGCCCAGCGAGGTGTAAAATGTATCAGAGATTTTAATAAAATGTCGGCAAAAAATAAAAAAAGCAATTTCTGCTTCAGGTTGTTGAAGTCTGTCGGAAGAGATACTCTTAGTAAAAGAAATCAGATTTAGTTTAAAAAAATCTAAATAATTTTTCTTGTATTCTTGGAGAAGTAAAATAAAGACATAATTCATACTTATAAAGAATGTTACTTAATCTAGCTTATGTATGTATTTAATAAATTTTATGAAATGTTGTAATTACAGTCATATTGCTAAATCGATATCAATAATAAAATAACTTAATTTCCAAAGCAAAACACATATTTCCTTTTTAAGTAATTTTCTCTGCTATCAAGCGTTATCCTATCGACCTCAAACTTTTACGTTAGTCTTTCAGACGAAAATAAACAAATATCCGGGCGGCGCCCGTTGAAACTTTGATTTGTAAAAAATATGGGCACCCTTAATGTGCATGCTTATGTGTTATTATTTATAAGATGTGTATGTTATAGGCCAGGCGCGCACGCGGAAATAAATTTGGGGGGGTTTTAACATTATTATATATTGTTTTATTTACTTAAAGAATAAGGTTCAACCTTCTTTTATTATTTGCCATTGAATCTAAAACGTCTTCGATTTTCACTTTAACATCGCTGTGAACGTTCAGGAGAGCTAGTCCATTCAGCCTCTCTCCTCCGGTTGTACTTCTTAACTATGTTTTCAGTCTTCGAAGCGAGGAAAGTGATGCTTCAAAAATCGCGTTTGGAGTTGTCCCAGAAAA